GCAGCACAGGTAGATGACACTGTGTTATATACAATCCTACCTTTTTTGTCAGCATAACACAAACACACATTGACTCAAAACTGGTTAGTGTGGTATGAGAGTTCACTGGACAAGTGGCCCCCTCCATCAAAAAACAGAGTGGATCACTGAATTTTTACCTCCTATGCACATCAAAAAGGCTTTTTTTGTGCCTGTTCACAGTCACATGCACTGACCGACCCCTTGAATTCTCTGTGAATTGCACCTGCTAGAACCTACAAAGGTGGAGAAGGCACAGAGTAGAATAGAGTGGATTCTGGAGAGTCATTTGGTGACTACCTATATTAGGAGCCTTATTTATTTTATTATTATTATTTTTTTTTAATGTTTATTTTTGAGAGACAGAGAGAGCACATGTATACACGTGCAAGAGGGGAAGGGCAGAGAGAAAGGAAGACAGAACCCCAAGCAAGTTCTGCACGGCTGTCAGCACAGAGCCTGATGCGGGGCTCAAGCTCACAAACTGTGAGATCATGTTCTGAGTCGAAATCAAGAGTCGGACGTTTAACTGACTGAGCCACGCCAGGCGCCCAGGAGCCTTATTTTAACAACAAAAAAACCCTGTCATATTTCATTGAGCTTTAATCCTTATGACTTGCTTCTTCTTTGTCAAAGAGGTAGAACTTACCTTAATAATTTCATACCATGACTACAATTTTATTTTCTTATAAAATAAATACAGATATATGTGATGAATCACTAAATTCTGCACCTGAAACCAATTTTGTCATACATGTTAATTAACTAGAACTTAAATAAAAACTTGAAAAGAAGGAAAAAGAAAAGAAATGCAGAGATTTTCCTGAAGTATCTGGGCTGGAATCAGGAAAGAAGGTGGAAGACCAAGGACACTTGAGAGGATCATGTGTGAGAAAGGGGTTGGCCTTCTGATTGTACACACAGGCAGGGAAGGCAGCTCATGTGCAATCCCAGAAGGGAAGGCCAGGTGGAAGGAAGACGTTGCCCTAGGCATGTGGCTTAATGTCACCTGGGTTTTTAAGGTAGGACACTTTGTGATATCTCCCTTAGCAAAATATCCTATAACTTGCTAACAGGAGTCCTTTAAAAAAATTCTGGAGGCACGTGGGTGGCTCAGTCAGTTAAGCATCCAACACTTGATCTCAGCTCAGGTCTTAATTTCAGGGCCGTGAGTTCAAGCCCTGTGTTGGGCTCCATGCTGGGTATGAAGTCTACTTACTAAAAACAAAAAACAAAAAAACTGTAATTAAAACAAAACAGAGGTCATCCACACATTGTATTTTAAGGACCCCTTGGTTCCCTTGAGTCTGCTTGTCCAGGCAAGTAAGCCAGAAAGGGTGTCAGTAATAACAGGCACAATGTAAATATTACCTAAATTTGTAGACCACTGAAGAGTTTAGAAAATACCTTCCCAAGCATTATCCTTGGAACAACAAAGGGTGGGAACTTGGAGATGGGTAAAATGACTTGCCGTAGGTCACAAAGCTAGCACAGGGCAGAGCAGAAAACAGCACTTGAAGTTTCTGAGGCCAAAGTCAGTGTTCTCCACATCTCCCATGCTACTTCCCAAGAGGTCCCACAGAGATCTGGAATGGGCATTTCTACTCTCATTCCTCCCCCTGTTCTTCATTTAGTGGCTGGATTCCCATGAACATCACTCTAAGTGTCCTACACTTACTAAGCACATGAAATTGCTGACCCGTCAAATAAACCAGCATGGTTTGCTAGGCATCTGCATCTGCAAGGGGAAGGCAGCAGAGCCATGCTGGGAAGGGAGCCAACTCTGGGGCCAGACTGGATGGGTTGAAATCCTCCATGCATGGCTGACCAGCTGTGTGAGCTTGAGCATGTTACTTAACCTCTGATCAATGTATGAAAAAGCATGTACCCTCATGCCAAGGACAGGAAAGAAGTTCAGTAACTGATACAGATTTCATTACTGAGTCTTCACCTGCCTTCTTTGGGACTCTATCACAAAAAGGAAACTACCAACAAGAGGTTGATTTGTATCTTTAGCTCCATTTTCTTCTCTCCAAAGGAAAAAGTCACAAATACATAAAAAGCATGAATACCATGTATATGCATGCTCATGGGTTTGGCTAATGAGTCTTTCTGGTTGTGAACAGCCTCCACATGCTGAAATAATCCATGCCAGCCCTTAAGCCAAGCTACAATTTAAAGATTTAATAAATGCCACACATCCTCTAATCTATTCCTATAAGAGACTGACAAGCATCAGTATTTCTTGTGGAAGTTACTGTTCAGGAAAGCTGGGGCAAGTGGGCTGAAAGCCAAAATTACCTAAACAGCTTGAATAACTGGAATTTATCTCCAGGTGAGTGAAATGAAAAGAAACAGTTATCAAGGGCTCCCCCTACAGGCACCAAAAAGCAAAGGCTAAAATTTAAGGCTGATACAGAGTACTGTACCTCCTTCTTCTGGAAAAGTTCCCACAATGAAAAGGAATATAAGACTTACTTCAAACTATTTCTCTTTATGAGGGATGGAAGTTCATGACTTAGAGATCCAAACTGCCTCACAACAGGACACTGAAAATACATACCTAGAGACAAAAGCTCACATGGGGATTCAAAGATTGGGAGTGGGGAGAGGCTTAACATTATGTTAAATGAGAAAGAGCTGAAGGAAACGGGGGGGGGGGGGTGGCGCAGCAGAGAGACAGGACTGAGGGGTAGGGAGCTAGAATAATATCTGCCAGGCTAACACAAGGGCACGATCAGCCATATGTTATGTGGCCCCGCTACATAACAGTGGTTATCAGGGAACAGACTTTATCTCATAGAAAGGAAGAGTATTTTAATAATGAGCACTATCATACATAATGAACTACAAAGAGCATGGGTGAAGGATCATCACTGAGGGGTTTAAGTGGGGGCTTAAAGGCCAAACACTGGGAATACTGAAGAGACTGGTAAGTGGGCAGAGAACTAACCTGGATTACATTTAGGATTTTAGTTCTAAAATCCTGAGAATGTATATTAAAATCTCAAACAACTGAACAGTCCTGTTGCTAGAAGTCTGGTTGTTATCATCCTCCGACTATTTTTTCAATATTAAATATCAACATTTTGTGCTTCAAGCCCTGATTTAGTCTCAAAATAATTTTAAGAGAAAAGGCATCAAATTCGAAATAAAAGATAGATTATACCAATGTCAACTTCCTAGTTTTAACATTATACTACAGTTTATGTAAGATGTTACCATGGGAAGCAGCTAGGTGAAGGGTACACATGGCCTCTACACTATTTTTGCAACTTCCTGTGAATCTGTAATTATCTCAAAATAAAGAGATTTTAAAAATCAAGTTAAAGATACTTCCCCAAGAGGTTCTAAGTAACCTCAAAGGCAATCCAGTTTGGTTCAAGAGTGCAGTGTCATCAGCCACAAATGACTCTGTGCAAGTATCTACAGGCAGCAGGACTCATTTCAAAACCATGACCAATCAGCTATTAAGATTTACAGTTGTGGGCGCCTGGGTGGCTCAGTTGGTTAAGTGTCCGACTTCGGCCCAGGTCATGATCTCACAGTTCATGAGTTCGAGCTCCGCATCGGGCTCTGTGCTGGCAGCTCAGAGCCTGGAGCCTACTTCAGATTCTGTGTCTCCCTCTCTCTCTGCCCCTTCCCCACTCATGCTCTCTCTCTCTGTGTTTCTCAAAAATGAATAAATGTTAAAAAAAAATTAAAGAAAAAAGATTTACAGTTGTGATTAGGAAAGCCTGTCATGTTGACAGGTATCTAATTTGGTTATGCTGATCATAAATCTTCAGTTATCTGGGATCACATCATTAAAATCACCTATAGGCAATACATTCTTACAACTGCTTCCTACATGGTACTACACAGGAACCATGAACAGACTTAATTACTATATTTATCTAACTGTAATAAAATAATGTGGTTATGTCTTCTTCCTCCCCTAACTATGACTTGCAACAAGAACTGCATCTTGTTTTTATCTCCTTTTATCACCAAAACCTAACCCACAGTAGCTTTTCAGTAAATACTCACACAATAAGTAAGAAATAACCCGGTAATTAAGTTATTTTCTTGGACCTCTGGAGTGACTTTCTTTTCTGATACAAAGACCTCCAGAGAAACTTCAGAGTCTCTATTTTTTTTTTTTAATTTTTTTCAACGTTTATTTATTTTTGCGACAGAGAGAGACAGAGCATGAACGGGGGAGGGGCAGAGAGAGAGGGAGACACAGAATCGGAAACAGGCTCCAGGCTCTGAGCCATCAGCCCAGAGCCTGATGCGGGGCTCGAACTCATGGACCGCGAGATCGTGACCTGGCTGAAGTCGGACGCTTAACCGACTGCGCCACCCAGGCGCCCCCAGAGTCTCTATTTTGGAATCAGGATTAAATATATGCATACTACATACATATATATGAGTATGGGTCAAAGTCTCTGATATACAGGGGTTTAATCTCTAAAAATCTTTATAACCACTTGTGTTCGATCTGTTAGTTTCTTGTTTTTCTTTAATTTTTTTAAAATGTTTATTTATTTTTGAGAGAGAAAGAGAGAGAGAGAGAGCAAGCACAAGCAAGGGAGGAGCAGAGAGAGAGGGAGACACAGAATCCGAAACAGGCTCCAGGCTCTGAGCTGTCAGCACAGAGCCCAATGCGGGGCTCAAACTCACAAACTGTGAGATCATGACCTGAGCTGAAGCCAGACACTCAACCAACGGGGCCACCCAGGTGCCCCAGATCTGTTAGTTTCTTAAAACAATGTTAACTCAGTTTGATTTAAAATAAAATAGAGGGGTCAAGCTATTCCAGACAAGAAAACCAGTATGAATTGTTGAACAGATCCCCTTAGCTTGTAAGTTCCTGCTAGAATGCTCTCCGCCCAGTTTTACCAAGTGCCAAGAATAATCAGCTTCTTTCAGAAATCAATGAGACATCAACACCTTTGGATTCTTCAACATTAACCAACTGAAAAGCATATGGCAATTTCTCTAAATTTTACATCTCTCACTTTATTAAAATATAGGTTTTTCAAATAAATATTTTGAACAACCCAAATCAATCAAAGCAATGAGATCACAAAGTGTTGCTTCTTTTTGCAAAGGCGGCACATCGTTAGCTTATACAGATAATCGAACAGCCCCATCCAAAGTCAATTAGGCTGTTTAAAACACACGATAGAGGCTACTTACGATCCCAGAGACACCAAGGATTCTGTAGGGTCAGTCATTTGAATAGGCTCCGAAGCTGGCTTGATCCTTAGAACCTCTGCAAAGCCATCACCAAACCAGCAAGTGACATGCGCTATGTCTACAGTAAAGTAGAAAAGGCGATCCTGGCAGAGCTTCCGTCGATATACAGACCGAGGGTCAGCTGACAACACAGCCTCAATGGCGTGCCTTGCTTCCTCTGCTGATTGAAAATATTTAAATGAAGACTGACTGCCATCTGCAATGAGAATAATACAACTTAATGCTGAAAGTCATGCACGTCAAATTTCATTACAGTGAACTTTAATGTGGAGTTTGGTTGGTTCCTTGATGATCACGTAAAATGAACTGGGTTTGCCAATCTATTCAGTCATTACACAGAATGTCACTTTCAAGTAGTATTTACTATCATTAGATTAAACTTATGCATGCCCCCAATTTTCATGTGCTAAACAAAATCTTCTATCTAATCTCAACACAGACTGTAATTCAATTCCTTGTCATTTTCTTCTCAGAAAGGAAGTATGGTCAGGGAAATGCATTCACAGTCCCAGCATTCTCAGAAAGCCACAAGAAAGAGGACTAAACCCACATATACCCAGAGCTCCAGCTATAGGTAAGAGAAGGTGCCTCAGATAGTTGGTGTCACACCCCTACTTAAAATAACACCACAGGGGCGACTGGGTGGCTCAGTCGGTTGAGTGTCCAACTTCGGCTCAGGTCCTGATCTCATAGTTCGCGAGTTTGAGCCCACACTGGGCTCGCTGCTGTCAGTGAAGAGCCCACTTTGGATCTTCTGTCCCCCTCTCTCTGCCCCTGTCCTGCTTGCACTCTCTCTCTCAAAAATAAACATAAAAAAAAAAAAAAAAGTAACACCACATTCCCTAAGGAACAAGGACATGACAAAACAGATACGCTGAGAAAGTTGAACACCATCACTAGGGAACAAGCCACCCCATGCCACCCAGGTTTATATTTCAGGTAAAAAGATGTTTAACCCTGTTAAGTAGCAAACTTCCTACATTTATATAATTGTGGATGTATTATAATTTTTAAAAATACAGTATGTACAAAACTTAAATAAAAAATTAACTGTGACTTAACTTTTTTTTTTTTAATGTTTATTTATTTTTCAGACAGAGAAGGAGACACAGCACGAGTAAGGAGGGGCAGAGAAAGAGGGAGACACAGAATCTGAAGCAGGCTCCAGGCTCTAAGCTTTCAGCACAGAGCCCGACGCGGGACTTGAACTCACATACCGCGAGATCATGACCTGAGCCAAAGTCGGATGCTTAACCAACTCAGCCATCCAGGAGCCCCAACTGTGACCTAACTTTTAATAGTTACAACATAACATACATCCAAATGAAGGCTGGGCCCTTCCAGGAGGGTATGTTATTTAAACAGTGTTGTCCCTATTCAAAATATCGTCTGGAGTGGTGGTAGATCTTTATTCTTCTGAAAGTAAATTCAATTTTTAGACAACAGCCAAAAATCACTCTGGGCTATGTCCAATAAATAAGTTTGTAAGTAAAGCCATGAAGTTCAATTTTTGGTCAAAAACGAAAGACCAACCAATTCAAATGCTGATCACACAGAATCATTTAAAAAAACAAAGACAAAATCAAGAAAAAGAAGGACCAATTATGCAGTGCTAATATTCCTTTATTGCATGGCTCATAAAAGGACTCCAAGGCCACTCAAAAAAGAGGAGCTTTAAAAACATCACACTCTTGAGTAACAGTGTAACTGGTAAAAGCTCCAGGCCTTTGGTTGTTCACCTGGCACCTCACTTCTCTGCCAACTAAACCTTCCAAGTTTAGCTCAAATACTTTTTCCTCCAGGAAGCCTTCCCAGATTTCCCCTCTGCTCCCCAAGTCACAATCCTTCTCTGCCTCATGTGACCACAACACTCCGTTCCAGCACCAATCCCCACATCCTCCCCACCCCCCCCCCCCCCCAACACACACAACACGCTGCCATTCAATATCTTTTCTCTTTTCTAGACTATAAACTTCCTGAGGTCATTTCTTATTTCTGTATTGGCTCCAAATTCTGTTCTAAATCAGTCCTTGTTATAAAGTTACATTTCATAATTTCTTTTTAATCATATTTTTAAATCAATAAGGCATACTGTAATCTCTCAGACACATAGCACTAGAGTTTGAAAAAGATAAAACTTTCCAAAGTACGAAGCATTCACTGATAACCGCAGGCCAAAGGGTAAGTATAAATACAAAGTATCTTCCAGGCAGCACTGCTTTCTTTGTTCTATCACAAAATCCTTTTAAACTTACCTTCCTCCTCCCATCAACTGTATACAATGATGAAACAACTTTCATAAACAGAATTTTTTTTAAGTTTTTTATTCATTTATTTGAGAGAGAGAGAGTAAGCATGAGAAGGGGAGAGAGAGAGAGAGAGAGAGAGAATCCCAAGCAGGCTCTGCACTCATGAGATCATGACCCAAGTCGAAATCAAGAGGTGGATGCTTAACTGACTGAGCCACCCAGGTGCCCCATAAACAGAACTTCTTAAATACAGAGGTCAATTTAAAAATTAAATGCTTTGTTTAAACACAAAGCATTAGGGAAGAACGAGAAACACATCCTGGAGTGGCAGATGAAATCAGACACACTCTTGGCAACTTAACTGGCTACTTCTTACTGGAATCACTGCAGCTACCTCTTAACAGCCCCTTCCTTCACTCTAGATTGCTGCTCGGGATCTGCTGTGGACAGGGGAAACCAGATTACAATGTTTGTTAAAAACCATGTGGTAAAGTAAACATGCTCCAAATAAAAGCCCTGTGGCCCCTCTTCTACAGTGAAAGGTATGTCTTTAGGGCTGGGACTTTATGGTGACAATAACTGTGCTAAGAGACCCTTTACCTCTTACTCTTGGGCTCTGTGCCACCTGATGGAATAAGATGGGATATTTCTCTAGTCAGACAGTAAAACAGATGAAAAAATGTAACTGACATAAGTATAGAACAAGCATAATTTAGCTTCTGAATGCTGTTTGAAAACCCCAGGAACTACTGTAACAGATTGATAAGAGGACTTAAATCACGAGCCACCTCATGAGGCAACAGCCATTCTCAGAAACACTTTACTGAGTTTTGGGACTCACTGTACTGAACAACATGGCTGAATGGAAGTCGTCAGATGGTAGTGTTGCCCAAATATTATTTTATATTCCTGCATTTCTTACGGCCAGTCATCCTGACAAATATGCTGTATGACTGCCCTCAGAAATACCAAATTTGACTAAAGCTCTCATTCAGAAATAAGAAACAGAAAGTACCTGGTACACCTCCTGAACTGAGGTGCTCAAGATCCATCTCTGCGTGAGGAGTAAACCGCACTTCCAAGGTGGCCACAGGGGCCTCTCTCACCCACGCGGGGACCACGCTGCAGTGGGCTGCATCAGCCCTCCTGGGACGGCCGTGAAGAACCACAGGCTGGACCTCTGTACTACTTCCTTGTGAAATCACTGCTTCTTTCCCTCTCCTTTGCCTCCTTTCTGTACCTTCCTCTGAGAAGCTCTTCTCCAGGAAATATGGGCCGATTTGCTCTTCTGCCACACTTGGACTCTGATCACTTCTGGATTTGACACCCAAATCCCCCACTATCTCCCTGTGCTTAGGGGAGTTTCGCCGGATTTGTGTTGAGCTGTCACGTTTCATATAGTTTTCTCCTGAAGTTCTGTCTTCGGCACATTTAAGTTTCTCCTCAGTGTGACCACAGTGTTGTGGTTTATCATACCTTGAGAGCTGTTGCTGGTCACAGCTGTCAGTCTTGCCACCAGACTGGAGCGTGTTTGGATGCTTATATTGGTTATTCTGTAAATTAAAGTCCTGTAAACGTTCAATCAAATTTTGTGGTGAGTCATATTCAGCTATGTAGGGCTTTATGTCTAGGACAGGTGTGCCATGAATCATGTCAATTCCAGAAAGGTATATGGCTCCACCTATAATGTGAAAAATACCTCGTCTTAGAAATAATAACAATGAAGAATAGTGCAAACAATTATAAACTAACACCATCCTTTTATGTCTCACCAAGCTTACTCACAATTCTCTTACACGCCAGGCTCTCTGATACCTGGTACCAAAACACCCTTTTCAGTCTACCTGGAAACCCATCCTCTTCTTAACTTGTCAAACTCCTGCATGTTCTTTAAGGCTCTTAATATAACATCTCTTCTACAAAGCCTTTCTGGCTCTCTCTCTCTCAAAAAAGGAATAAATGTTAAGAAAAAAAATTTTTTTGTAAACATGACCAACACAGGAAACTGATTTCTACAACATGCTCACTGTGAATGAGCCTGGAACCTTGGAATGAGGACTTTGGATTTCCTAGGTGATGGATTATGCCTAACAACGTCTGCAGAAGGAGGAAAGGCATTGTAACATGGGTAAAAATTCATGGGATTTAGTCAGACAACCACTTGGCTGGATGCTATTAGGAAAATTATCAAACATCAAAGAGCCTCAGTTCCTTCATCCATGGAAGTAAGACTGCTACCCTATCAAGCCCAAAGAGACACTGAACATACGTGAACCCTCTTTACAAACTGTCAAGCACCACATAAATACTAGAAGTCACCATAACACTTATTTGTTAAGAATGTCTACAGTGTTAATGTATTTGCCTTTTACATTTCTCATTTGATCTCCCTGTTAGAATTTTAAGTTCTTCTGCAGTGCAGGGATTTTTTATCTGATTTGTTTACCACTATACCTCAGCACCTAGAAGAATGCCTGGCACATTTATAGTGCTCAGAAAATATGTGTGGGTTACATGAATGATCATAAAATGTTCCAGTACTACTACCCAAGCTGGTTAGCTATCACAAACTGATAAAGCTCAAGTTTAACTGGCTACAGAATTTTCCTGGAAAACCTCCCTAAGGCCCAGCTGAATACAATCCAGGAGAGGAAGTTCAAGTTCTGGAATAAAACAAACAAAATAACTGGTCTTACCTATTTAGTACTAAGCAGCCCAAAAACTACTCTTAGAACTTTTGTCTCATAAGATCCTAAAAAATACTATGGAGTTCCAGAGAGGGCAGGTCCTGCTCCTGAGCCCATTTTACAAACAAGCAAGCTAAGGCCTGGAATGGTCTTCTGATTCCCAGTATACCTATTTCATCTTTTGCCTAACAAATGTGCTTACTAGGTCAGAGTGATTCAAGAACAGGATGCTTTACTAACAAACAAAACAAAGATACAAACCAAAACTCAAAAATACAGAGAATAGATTGGTGGCTTCCAGAGAGAAGAGGGTGGGGAGATGGGTGAAATGGCTGAAATGGACCAAGAGGTACAAACTTCCAACTGTAAAATAAATGAGTCATGGGGATGTGATGTATAGCACAGTGACTACAGTCAATAATACGGTCTCATATATTTGAAAGTTGTTGAGAGTAAATCTTGGAAATTCACATCATAAGAAAAAAAACTTTTGTAACTCTGTATGGTGACAAATGGTTACTAGACTTATTACGATAATGAGTTCACAATGCATATAAATATTGAATTATAGGGGCGCCTGGGTGGCGCAGTCGGTTGAGCGTCCGACTTCAGCCAGGTCACGATCTCGCGGTCCGGGAGTTCGAGCCCCGCGTCGGGCTCTGGGCTGATGGCTCAGAGCCTGGAGCCTGCTTCCGATTCTGTGTCTCCCTCTCTCTCTGCCCCTCCCCCGTTCATGCTCTGTCTCTCTCTGTCCCAAAAATAAATAAAAACGTTGAAAAATAAATAAATAAATAAATAAATATTGAATTATATAGTACACTTGAAACTAACATATCATTTATACTTTAATAAGAAAAAAAAAAAAAGAAAGGGATGCTTCCAAAAAATGTATGGTCCATTAACTAGGCTATATATGAACACACAGTTAAGACTAATCTGATATTCTACACAGGTACTTCCACAATCTGACCGGTATTAAATATTATAGTGAGATTCATCACAGATCCTTTGCCACACATCAGAGTTAACAGTGGTGCTACAGCCATGATGCACGTCCAGTTCCTCAAAGGTGCAAGGAAGAAATAATACAACACCACCCTGTGTGTTTACCATATCTCCACATACAACCAGTTACTGTGTATTAATTCTGAAAGTGACCAATTATTTTTGAATTATTTTGTATTTATTGTACTCCAAGTCAAAGAAAATTTGGTTACTAATGTAAAGATTATGAAATCTTTCATTATTTTAAAATAACTTAATAAATTCTGACATATGTGATGATATAATCAGACTCTGAGCATCCTATGAGCATTGATTTCTAAGTGTAACATTCCTTGAGTCATTTCATTTTCTTCAACGTCTGATAGTTCTCAGGGGTTCGCACCATTGGTAATCATCTGAGTAACAGGCAGTGGTGAATACTACATTGGCTTTAGAAGACTTCTTTTGGGTAAGGATAAAAAGATAAAAGTAGAAAGGAAATGTTTTACCTTCTACCTTTTCCAGCTTGGCCAGAGTCAATCCTATTGCATTGGGACGATGAGGGCTCCTTGTGGAGAAAACTCCAGTCTTTGCGCCATTCAGCCTAGGAGGCTGCACTTTTGCCTTACAGCTCAAATGACCATTTTTGTGAAAAACAAACAAAATCCTATTGAAAATAAACCAAACCACTGAGTGAGAAAAGAACACAAGTTAATGTATCACAATGATTTGAGGGGAAACAATCTTTAATCCCACAAATTAGAACTGAAACAATGCTTTTAATGGTATTAAAATGTAAGCAATGAGGGGGAAAATACCATTCTGATTCCCTGAAGGGAGGCAGAGTTTTATTTCCATATCCTTTGCCTCTAACACAATTACTGGCATATGGTAGGAACTTAGCAAATGTTTGTCAAGTGCCGAAATGAGCAAAATTTACGAAGTAAATGCCTTCTGTTTGCCAGGCAGTATGCTAGACAATTTTATACTCATTTAATTCTCTTAACAAGTGTAAGATTTGTAATTTATCCCCATTAAGAACGAGGAAATTGTGGGGTGCCTAGGTGGCTCAGTTGGTTAAGCATCCGACTTCGGCTCAGGTCATGATCTCACGGTTCATGGATTCAAGTCTGCATTGTGCTCTGTGCAGACAGCTCAGAGCCTGGAGTCTGCTTCAGATTCTGTGTCTCCCTCTCTCTCTGCCCCTCCCCTGCTCATGCTCTGTCTCTGTCTCTGTCTCTCTCTCTCTAAAATAAATATAAAAAAAAAAGTGTGTCTTTAAAAAAAAAAAAGAATGAGGAAAATGAGGCTCAGAAATGTTAAATAACTTGACTAGGTGCTCCTAAACAAAACACAAAAGAAGGAAGCCAAGAAGAGAAACAACAGATTTGAATTCATTAAATTTATGACTACATAATGTCATCTCAGGAGAAAAGGTCTGCTACCTGTATAGTGGATGATGAGTTAATGTCTGTGGTATATAAACTGTTCCTACATATCACAAAGAAAAGGACAACTCATAAGAAATTAAGCCAAGAACATGAATAGACAATTCACAAAAGAGTAAAAAATAGCAACCATATGAAAAGATGTTGAACCTAATAATTTAGAAATTGAACTGAAAAATAAAATACTGTTTTTCCCTGTCAGGCAAAAACGTAAAAAAAAAAAAAACTGATAACATATAGTGTCAGCAAGAACGCAGAGAAAAGGTCATTTGTATACATCTTTGAAATATAAATTAAGCTTACTAAAGTGCAATTTGGCAGTAGCTCTCCAAAGTTATAAATATGCACCCCCTCTAGCTCGATATCCATTTCTGATACCCTATTTGTAAAAAATACCCAAGTGTCAAGAATTGTGTCTAAGAAGGTTTGTTACAGCATTACTGTAATACCAAAATAACTATCCATTAGCAAGAGAATGGTCAAATCATGGTATACCCATATTTTCCAAAAGCAGACAGCCATCAAAGCAAAAAGGATAAATCTCTATGTACTGTCATGATATATACTGTTAAGTGAAGAAAACATATTCCATTGTTTAAAACAAACACCCACTCCCAATGTGTATGTATATGCTTCTATGTGTATTAAAAAAGGAAAAGAAAAAGCCTGGTAGGATATACACCAAGCTGTTAACAACAATAATCTCTGAAGAGTGTAAGGGGGTGAGGACGAGAGAGGAGAAAAATAGGAGGGATACAGAAAAATCTCTTTATATAGATCCAGACCCATTTTTTTAATATCAGTAAATGTTTTTAACTTAATTAATTTAACCAAGATCCTACAAACTAGGTCAGACACTCATGTTTTTACTCTACCCACATCTCCAAATTAACGTGAAATATAAACTATTTCAGAATAAATACCTAATTTTAGGTCTTCACTTTAAAATTAGACCAAGCCATACTGGTGATGCTGGAGTGAGGAAGAATGGACAGAGACAGAATTCCAAGTGACAATCAGTAACACTAGTATAACACAGGTCCTAATATAGGTAACACTTTATTATTTAAAGTATCCAGATTTCTAAAGCTCTTTTGTCTTTAGGAAGAATAGACTTAATTCTTCATGGGTCTAGAGTAGAGTCATGCAAACTTTTTCTGTAAAGGGTCAAACAGTAAATATTTGAGGGTTTGCAGGCCAACCAGTCTCTGTTGTAACTATTCAACTCTGCCGCTAAACCACAAAAGCAGCTACACACAATACATAAATGAATAGGAGTGGCTGTGTTCCCATAAACATATTTACAAAGATAGGAGGTAGATGTATTTGGTCCATGGGTTGTAGCTTGCTGACCCCTGGTCCAGAAGACAATAGGTACCCACAGGCAGAATCAAGAAGGTCTGCAGATTTCAGCTCGACAGAAGGCATTTATTATAGTTAGAACCAACTGCAAATGGAACATGCCCCCTCAGTGGGTTCCAAGCTTCCATGAGGTTGCTCAAGATATACAGACAATCACGTGTGAGAACATGGTACGTGAATTCCATGCAATAGGAAGGATGGTCTGGATGGCAGACTCCAAGATTGCCTTCAACTGGAGTACTTTACTCAAGGGCAAGTTCTGGCCCCAAGAACCACTTCTAATTATAAAACAACTTACCAAACATGAGAAAACTGTTCTAAGCCCATCAAGGAATGCTCAGGATTATTAAAGATGCTCTTCCGAATTCTCAAACAAGCTCGCGAATGGCTACAAACAGATGGCTGCCTTGGAGTACCATTCTTGGCTGAGAAACAGGATTCCAAGTAGCCAACTGGCTCAGTTAAAAGATTCCCTACAGAAGAAAATCAGGTAAGAAATCATTAGTCAAAATGTCAAATAAAGATGTAGGAAAACATGTTTTCTTTAATGCACTGATTTCATAGTTTTAACATCTACCAAGTGTTATGCAACTATTAAAAATGATTCATATAGTATCATGAATATATATAAATAGCCTCATTCTTACATATACATTATTATATCCCTTTGGATGATGAGCCAGAAAGAGTACAGGTCTAAGAAAAGAAAGACAGGGAGCACTTTTAGCTGTTCTACTATGACCATAAATCAAATTCTATGTTACCATTTTCTAAGGCATGTGACTTTGGTCAGGGCTAAAATGGTATTTACTACAGAGGGAATAACACACACACAAAGTTAAATGAGAACTGTCATAGCACATGTAGGGAACAAGCTAGTTTGCTTGGCTGGAGTATGAAAGATAAGGCAAAGAATAATTAAAGATAAGGAGACAGAGGTTGTATACAGATATCCTCATGCTTTTCAGAAGTCTGCAGTAAGCCACTGCACATTTACAAAAGACCTACATTAGTACCTGTTTTTGCTAATCAAAAGAAATCCAATGTTTATTTTTACCAAAAAAGGCAAAAATTGAAAATACTGTTCAGTATCTGTTTTGCAGAGATCTGTTATAGATGCAGGGTGCACCTCAAGGTGTGAGATCGGCCCCACCCAGGTCCTTCCCCAGGAAGCATCTGAGCATCAAGACACTAGATTTTTGAACTTTGTCTGTGAGCATCTGTGGTTTATCTTGTTTTGTGCATCCACTAGCAAGATGTGTCCTCAGGTAACAGAAAAGCCTAAGAGAGATTATTTTTTGCACTGAGGAATGCTCAAAATATTTTCCATATAAATTAATGGTAACTATTTTGCATTATGCCATTTCAGCTTATGAAACATTTTGTAGGGATGCTCTACTTTTGGATAGTGGGGAAAACGTGTCCAAATAGGGATGCATTCAATTAAAAACAGAACATACAAAACAAAGTTGTTTAAGCAATAAAGGGAGTACATGGGATCATACTACTAAAATGTCTAGACACAGGGTAGATTTCAGATTAGGCTTGTCCAGTAGCTCTCTGCCCCTTTAGAATGTAAGCTCCCTGTGGGCAGGAGTTTTTCTGTCTTGTTTACTGCAGTGTTCACTGTCTATATTGCATGCACGGGGGTAGATACTCAAAAAATTCATGTTACATGGAAAAAAGCATTGTTTAAGTCTAACCTGATTAAAATGGGAATTGAAAAAGTGAAAGAACATAATCCCATTTATGAAAGTTTGTTTATACATTCACCTAAATATGTACATGTATGCTAAGAAAACTATTTGGAAGGATATTCACCAAAATGTTAACATTTTGGTAAATGGATGTGATAACATGTAAAATGGATAGTGAGATTTTTGGATTATTTTTATATTTGACTTTGTAATTTGTATAATATTTGAACTTTTTATAATAATTAGAAACCCTTTTTTTTTTCCTAAGTGGCAACTCCTTGCAAAAGAAGGACACCCAGGGGCGCCTGGGTGGCTCAATCGGTTAAGCGTCCGACTTCAGCTCAGGTCACAATCTCACGGTCCATGAGTTCGAGCCCCGCGTCGGGCTCTGGGCTGATGGCTCAGAGCCTGGAGCCTGCTTCCGATTCTGTGTCTCCCTCTCTCTGCCCCTCCGCCGTTCATGCTCTGTCTCTCTTTGTCTCAAAAATAAATAAACGTTAAAAAAAAATTTAAAAAAAAAAAAAGAAGGAAACCTGGCTAGCCAGTATCAATATAGGTTTAAAGTCCAAGGTATCCACAACTAATTTACAAATAACTTTTTTTCTTTACATTTCATGAAAGCTTTACTAACTTCTTTTAAGAGATGATATAAAGACACTCTAGACCATCATTTTATTTCCAGCTTCCATTACCAGCATAGGTGGTGAGATTATCGGCCTGGTAGTGTCCCTCACAGCACCCTTCTTTACTTTTCACTTATAAAAACTATATTATTGGCTACATATAAAATATTATATGTAACACATATATATTAGAGCATCATATTATGAAATCTTGTGTACTCACCACGCATCCCAAGAACTAGAGTTTTACCAACAAATTGTTATCTTTTAATGTTGTCTCTCTCCTAGGGCACACCCATCCTTCCTGCTGAGATAAACAGGTGCCTGAATGGGGTCTTTGTCACTCACTTCTTTTTCTAATGTAGCTTTTTAAATATAATTTTATCACATGCATATGCATGCCTACATAATTTTTATTTTGTCTTTGAACTCTATAAAAACTGGTATTAAACTACATGTTATCTTCCCAGGCTTGCTTTTTCTCTCTCAATATTATGATTCTACGATACTTCCATACTGTGTATGTTTTTGAGGACTTTAAATATTTTTCCAATATGTTTACAGGCCTTCTTTTGTTTATCCTTATCCATGTTCCTGTGGAATAAAGACAATAAATACTTTAAAGATGAAGAAACGGAGGCCAAACAAGTCTCTAGAGTTCCACTAAAATGTCATAAAGAAAAATGGCCAAAAAAACAGCCCTAACCTAGTAAGTTGGGATCCCTGTGTCCTGTTTTCATTTAACAAACACTTTCCAGGTGTATACAATTGCCAGACACTGAGCTAAGTTTGGGTAAAAGAAACAACAAGAACTCTTATCATAGTGGAATTAACAGTTGTGAAGAATCTCACAATACTTCAATATCGTGGAAAAAATATTTAAAGCACCTAGTATAACACCACGTGCTCAGCAAAGAGTGTTTTTCAAAGCTCTTACTTAGGCCTTTCCCTCATTTTAATGGTATTACAATTGTATTAACTGTGTAATAAGAGAAAAACCAACAGTTATTAATGCAGAGTTTTTGTACACAAGGTAATTCTGGTCTTCTTGACCTCTGGCTTGGACTGTTAAATTACCCTTATATATAATTCATGTCCCCCATGTAGGTCCCTGTCCCTGTTAAAATACACTACACCAATCCTCTAGATTCTGTTCCTTAATTTTATGCTACCCCCTTTTTTTTTTTAGGTTTATTTATTTATTTTGAGAGAGAGCACAGGGGAGTTGGGAGGGGCAGAGAGAGGGAGAGAGAATTCCAAGCAGGCTCAATACTGTCAGGGCAGAGCCCATTGGGGGGCTCCAATTCACCAACCATGAGACCATGACCTGAGCCAAAATCAAGAGTCGGAAGCTACACCAATGGAGCTACTCTAGGCGCCCCGCTACCCTCTAACTTTAAATTTTCCACTTTTCACCATTAAGAGACTTTCTATTTCTTACACTGGTATTTAAGGTTCTCTACAATCCTGAATCCAAACAACGGTTCCCACCCACCCCCGCCCCCCATCCATCCAGTATTTCAGACTTACAGCTCCCCCATCCCATGCTATGTAGACCTCTGAGCCCTGCTCCTTCCTGTCAAAATATAAGCCTGCAATCTGGCACTGTGCAACAACTTTTTAAAATGAGCACAACCTCTGACCAAGTAGAAGTACTTTTAGCAAATTTAATCTAAGTTAAACATTTATAACACACACAAAGATTTTAGTTTTAACAATTTTCTTCAGAACAATGAAAACTGGCAGTACCCTAAACGTCCAGCAATAGCGAACTGGTTAGTTAGAACACATCTCTAAAGAAAAATAATGTGCAATCCCTTAAAGTTATTAATGGTCACAGATTTATATGAAACTTGTTTTAGAAAGAAGTTACAAAACAATGGGGTCACATATCAATTCATTTTTCTAGCGTGCATGCACTGAAAGAAGTATGGTTGGTTGACACCAAGATATTAACAGTGGTTTTCTCTGGATGATGGTGGACTTTGACTTTCTTCCATTTGCTTCTAATTTCTAAAAGTAATATTCTGCTATGATGAAGGGAAAATAAACCCATGCCCATCTTTCCAGGCCCACTTTAAAAAGATTTCCCGTCTCTCCGCCCCAGAACTTTCCCACATCTCCCTCCTCAATTCCTACAGCCCAGGAGGCCTCTCTCTTGGGGCATTTATTAATTCCTAACGCGCGTTAACACCAACGTTCACATCCTATCTCTCCCACAGGCGCAAGAACCCCCTGAGAGAAAGGCCGTTACACTGCACGTGGCTGTTCCGGCCATCACGCCTAAACCAAGCCAACCACAGCTACCCAGAACAGATGACATCATCCCGCTCGCCTCAGCAAAATCACGTGGTCGCTGGTGCACGTGATCCGTGGCTTCGGTAAGTACAATGACGCACTTCGATTCAAGTTCTCACATTTTACGACCCTCTCTGCACTGAAGTCGGAGGCCTGAGCCTAGGCCTCTTTTGGGTGCGGAACCGCCGGTCTCTTAGAAGTTACCTGTTTCCAAAGCCGGCTTCACGCACCCGCAGGGGGTCGCTGTGGCCTCAGGCCCTGTCTCCTCCAAGACGCGCATGGCTACTTTTCACTGAGGTGCCGAACCAACTCGGCAGACTTTCCGCTTCCTGTGTTCGAACTTGGTGCCTGCGCAGAAGCCGCGCTGGCGGGGTGGTGCGGGCTCAGGGCCTGGCGCAGGCGCGGAGAGGGAGGCGAACTCACTGCGGGTGGCGCTGGCGGCCCCTGTTAAGGTTAGGGTTGGAGCGCTGAAGCCATTGCCCGGCCTCCGTTGACTTTAGCGGATCCGCTGCGATTCCCCGCCAGTCAGCGACTCCGCGTTCCATTGCTTGCCAGTGGGGACATTCGATGACGATTTATGCACTAAGATGTCTCTCTCGAATTTTTAAAGAAAAAGGATGGATATATGCAGTTACCACATTAGCATAATTATCGGATGTTGGGAAATGTTAGAAATTCTTCCGTGGTAGGAATACACAGATGATTATTTATACTTATGTATATTCAATTTTTCCACAGTAAAAACGATGTATTGTCAGCAAGGAACCCCAAGTAAACCTTATTTAAAGTCTAATGGATGGGGAGCCTCACACTGGAATAGGGGGTAAGTTGGGAGTTTTTTGTGTGCTCCATACTTTGCGGGAATTGAAGCGAGAATGAAATTGAGGGTCAATATGCCATGTACATAGAAGAGATTGTAATCTTTGTTTCTGGACAGCTCTGAAAAGGGCCAAATAGAATCGTATTTTCATCCCATGCGATGACCAGTTATCCTTGTAACAATACTATCCTTTTACCTACTTACTTGTAACGTCATCTCTCACCTATATCAAGTTTCTCTGCATATGTAATTCTGTATATGGGCTTTTTATCCTGTTTGTGGTGGGGAGAATAAATGGCTTGCAATATAAAATATTCAAAAGCATGCAAATCCACAGATTTTAAACAAACAACCATGAAAAGCTGTCGCTAAACCTTTTTATTTGTTATGGAGTAATAGATCACTAGCAGAAAATAACCAGCAGGAGCCAAAGATTGACAGAGAAGGTTGTGGTTGAAAACACACACACGCACACACATACACACACACACACACACACACACTTTAAAATTGATCACATTCATAAATATTCTTCTGTCGTCTGTCCATGAAAATTTGGAAAAGAATGCCATTTATCTGTTTCCAGGGGAAATGCTGTTAATCTGTGTGTCTGCAGAAACAAGTTTGAGAACAATTAAGCTATATACACTCTGTGAAACTGGCACCGTAATAGCTGTGTTTGCCACTAGATGGTGGTGTTGAAAGTGATAGTATTGCTTAATTTGTGGACAGACTAGTGTGGAAATGTATTTGCCCTCCTGACCTTAGATATCATTATCTAATGATAATCACGAAAAAAAAATGCATTACCAAGTGTGACTAGTACTGAGATGCAAAGCAGATTTGGAGACACTGATGTAGATTGCCACATCTAAATTTCAAAGGTAAAATTTTTTGTTCTGGAAAATAGGAATTTAAATATGTAACACTTTTATTATATGATTTGAGGTTTTTATTATCCTTTCTAGAGTTATATAAGATTATTTGTAATTTATAAGGCAACCTTCTGGGGCGCCTAGGTGGCCCAGTTGGTTAAACACCTGGTTCATGATTTTGGCTGAGGTCATGATCACAAGGTTTGTGAGTTCGAGCCCTCTGTCGGGCTCTAAACGGACAGTACGGAGTCTGCTTGGGATTCTCTCTCCCTCTCTGCCCCTCCCCACTCAAAATAAATAAATAAAAATAAAAACTTTATAAGGCAATCTTTTCTTTGGAGGTAAAATCTAGGAATCTGCCTTTAAAAAAACTAAATGCCGGGGCTCCTGGGTGGCTCCATTGGTTAAGCGTCTGACTTCAGCTCAGGTCATGATCTCATGGTTCGTGAGTTCAAACCCCTCATTGGGCTCTGTGCTGACAGCTTGGAGCCTGGAGCCTGCTTCAGATTCTGTGATTCCTTCTATCTCTGCCCCTCACCCGCTTGTACTCTGTCTCTGTCTCTCTCAAAAATAAGTAAAAACGTTAAAAAAATATAAAAAACACTAAATGCTTCTAATACAGGTGGTCATGAGCCTACAGTTACAGAACACTTCCCCTTGCAATGGTTCTTAATCTTTCACTTGGATGAAGGATCCCTGAAAAACAATTAAAGCTTTGGGACTTCTCATGAGATCATTTTAGATTTAGTAGCATGTGTTTCATGGATTTTTAAGAACCACCATTGTACCTACCATGAGAGGAGGGTAGTACAAAGTGGGCTTAGATGGTTGCAAAACTTTTGATTCTGTGACCTCAACGTTTTAAGCCAAGAAGAAAACTGGAAAATGTTTAGATGCACACTGGTGTTTGAATAAGAATAGTGAGAAAGCAGAGATTGTGTGTATACAGGGAGTGGGGTGAGAGGGCAAGCAGAAAGGGTCCTAAAAGGTAAAAAGAGAAGATCCCTCTCCTTCTAACGTTCTATATTCTTCATTCCATCTACTTTGTCATCTGTTTCACCTTTGTGCCCCTGTGCATGGCACATATGCAAATCTCTTATGGTTCCTCTTTAATGCAACACTATTAGAACATGAAACTTCCATTTACCCTTTTCTAACTAATGTTGACCCACTCTGGCAGATGAAATTGAGACCAGATTTTCTAAGATTAGACCCAGCATGAAAAGTACTGAGGAAGTTAGATGTTACTTTAGGTGAGTACCCAGCCTCTCTGAGGTTATTCCCTCATCTATAAAACTGGAATGATAATCACTGCCCTGCCAATTTCATACACTCTTGAGCAAATCAGTGTATATCAAAGTATAAATTCTGAAGTGCCATCCAGACATAAAGGACTATTATGTGGTTATTCTGCCCTCAATATGTCACTTGAGTAATATAATGGAGTATGAGTAATCATTGTATGATGCATACACCCCAAGAGGAAAAAAATGTAATGTTTGTGGAGGAATGTGTGCAAACAGGAAGGAAAGAGCATTGTACCCTCCCCATACACTAGTGGTCCTCAACTGTAGCTGCACAAGGTTCACCTGGAGAGCTTTTTAAATATTCTAAATGCAATGTCATATCTGAGATTGGATCCTGAAGCCAAAAAAGGACATTAGCACAAAAACTAATGAAATCCAAATAATGGTAATGTCACCTGTCTTAATTTCTTAAGTTTTGATAAATGGACCATGGTTATAGAACATGTTAACATTAGGATAAACTGGGTGAGAGGTATACAGAAACTTCTGTACTATCTTTACAAATTTTCTTTAATTTCTAAAATTATTCCTCAAAGAATATTTGAAACAACAACAACAAAAAATAAACTAAAAAATTAACATACCTATGCCTGGATGTCGTCCTAGGCAGGTAAATCAGAATCCCTGGGGAGGCACAGCTGTAATTTTTAAATCTACCTCAGTGGTTCTAATATATCCTGAGTGTTAAGAACCTCTGTTCTAAAAAAAAAAAAAAAAAAAAAAGAACCTCTGTTCTACACTAGGAATGTTTGAGGGACTGGGATTCTGTCTTGTTCTTCACTGTATAGCCTAGAACCTAGCGCAGTGCCTATGTGCCTATAGAGCTTATGCAATTGTGCCCTTGCTAAACTAAACCTTTACTCACAGAAATCTCTTTTACTTTAGTCTTCTACAGAGGGAAAACTGCAAACAATGGGGGGGCGCCGCCGCCCCCCCCTCCCCGGGAGTTTTTCAGACATCTTCCCACCTGGAAGAGTTCCTATTCCTGCCCCCAGTCTCTTGTCATTTTCAGCTAATCGTGACCATTATCACCAGATAGATATTCTTAAAACACTGAAACTGCCACTCCATTGTTCGAAAGTCTTACTTAGTTCCCCATTACCTTACGTAATCTTTGGTATGGAAAATTCTGTTCACACTAATAATATGAGATTTTTTGCCTATTAGCCTGCTATTCCACATGGACCCTGCATTAACTGTAGTTTGCAAGTAGTTCTCTTGAATATGTCTCGAATTCACCCTTCTCTGTGTCACATACAATAATGCTGTGATCCTCACCTACAATACAAATCTTTTTCATCTTTTCATCTTTTGGAGATTTAATCTTTTCAGGTCACTCCAGCAAAAAAAAAAAAGGGGGGGAGAGGGGAGTGTTTCCTCTATTCTATGTACTATTCAAATGACACTAGCCTTTCTTACTTTCTTTTGTAATTATATTGTTTTATTCCCCCGTAAAACTAGATTAAACCCCTGCTGGGTAAGGACTATATGCTATAGGTCTTCTAACCCTCACAGTGCTTACCACAATGCTGTCCACACGGTGAAGCATGTGATAATGATTTAATGTACTTTTTGCACAAATGCAATATTTAAAAAGGAAAAATAGAAAATCAAAATTCAAATACTTAAGTAAACTACATTTATTACTCATTACCTCAAAATACCTTTGAAGGAGTCCCAGAAGGATAAATTGTTAAAATTAACTTAAAAAGCCAACTAAAGCCTGAATAAAATGTTGATGCTATTGTTACATTGATAATTGAACAAAGTTTACAAGAAAACTATTACTCCCCAAATTTTAAATGAACAGACAATATACTCTTTCTACTTTTGAGAATTAACCAAGGAAAAAAATAAATTAAAAAAATGAACCAAAGAAAGGTTTGTTTTTGAGGGTAAAAATCAGTTATTCAGCACCCCCCCTTTCCCATTTCTGTCTCTCCCCACCGCTATCCTTACCCCAAAATACATATACACACACACACACGCACAAACTAGCAGGATATCATCTATGTGGTAGAGCCTCAAAAAACACCTTAGTTCACTCTTTCAGCTGTAGTCTATATGTGGGAAAAAAACCACTTAAAATATTAATGAGTATTGTAGAGATGCAATATTTTGAGAATCACACGTATACTAAGATGTGTATTTTGTTGGACAACTGATGGTTGAGCATCGTTAAAACAAAACATAACTATAGACGTCATTTTCTGCATGAATCTCTTGAGGAACATTTGGAATTGCTGGTATCTCTGGTTCCTCTGCTTTGGGTTTTTCTCTCATTTCTGTAAAATAAAATATGAAAATAGGTTAAATAAATGGTCAACTGGGACAATTGACCAGATTAAAAAACTCTACCTCACACCTTGCACAAAAGCAAATTTCAGATGAATTAAAGATTTAAATATTAAAATACCATAAATGTTGTATAAACAATAAAATTTTCTTATAATCTTAGGATTAGAAAGGCCTTTCTAAGCAGGAAACAGATCAGAAACCATAAAGGAAAAGAATGACAAGTTTGAATTACCAAAAATTAAAATTAAAATCTTGTCATGTAGGTGACAAAAACCACTATAAATAAATTTAAACCATAGACAACTGGAAATATATTTACAACTTATATGTAGGTAAAAGCTTAACTATTACATAGAGATTTTCTAAGTCAATCCAAAAAGATCAAATTTAAAATGGAACAGGAATTCAAACGGGCAATTCTCAAAAGAAAAAATTCAGGAGCGCCTGAGTGACCTGGTCAGTTGAGCGTTCAACTCTTGATTTCAGCTCAGGGCATGACCTCGCAGTTCATGAGATATTGCCC